CCCCCCCCCCATCTGCTGTGCAGGTCTGCGGGGCCTCATCAACCTTGGCAACACGTGCTTCATGAACTGCATCGTGCAGGCTCTCACGCACACACCGCTGCTCCGCGACTTCTTCCTGTCCGACCGACACAAGTGCGAGATGCAGTCTGACTCGTGCCTCGTCTGTGAGATGTCACAGCTCTTCCAGGAGGTCGGTGCTCGTTTTTTTGTGCCTGATCGAGTATTGTGAGGTTATCGTCATTAAACCGCACCGAGTCATATGGAAGACCCTCAGGCTCAGGTGCTTAGAGCGCCCCCTGTTGCTCTCCTTCCTGCCTGCACCTGCTTTTGTGTTCTAGCTTTTAATTGGCTGCAGCTCGTACTTTTCTGCTTTTACAGCCTCCAGTATATGGGGGAGAGAACTGCGGTCCTATGAGGGATTTCTGTGGCGTGTCCCCCCCCACCCCCCCCAAACAAAGAAAAGAGGGTTAGGGGCTGTTGGACCTGAGAAAGTTGGGGTGGGTGTGGAAGTGGGGGTGGCTTAGGCCTGCTGCAGCTTCACCGCTCCCTCATGTTGTGATGGGGGGGGGGGGGGCAGGAGTCGCAAGCAGCCAGATTATGGCGTTTCCTCCCAGTTCGCCCCAGCATGGCTTTGCTTTCGACATTGTGGGTAATCCTGCCTCTAATTCAATACCCTGGCCAAATTAGATGTTTTCGCAAATGGACTCCAGAACAAGATGCGAAGTGGCCATTCGTGTGTGGTTGGGAGTTAGAGGACCTTCACCACTAGGGGGTGATCTTGAGGCCCTGTTTAGGGTTTATGCTGCACCAGTGTGACGTCACCTAGCCTCTTCCTGTTTTTCCCCCTTCCCCCAGTTCTACTCGGGCCACCGCTCACCCCACATCCCCTTCCGCCTGCTGCACCTGGTGTGGACGCACGCACGCCACCTGGCTGGCTACGAACAGCAGGACGCCCACGAGTTCCTCATCGCCGCCCTGGACGTGCTGCACCGGCACTGCAAGGGTGAGCGGCCTGTAGCGCCGGGAACCCAGAACAGGATCCTTAAAATCCCTGTCGTACTTCTGGGCGTCCAGAATGTAGCACTGTGATGGAAACAGGGACTCTGTAGCATTCATACCACCCAGAATGCATTGCACCCGTGACACTTGAGAAAGGTTTGCCCGGAAAGATCAAAGACCCTTAGAGGAGAGTCCGGCAGCGGATGCATGTGTCGTCCTTCAAGTGTTATGGTTTTTTTTTTTTGTCCCCGATTTTTTAAAATTTATTTATTTATTTATTTCCCCACCCAGGTGACGACAACAGTAAGATGACCAATAACCCCAACCACTGTAACTGCATCATCGACCAAATCTTCACGGGCGGCCTGCAGTCTGATGTCACCTGCCAAGTCTGCCAGTAAGACCCGCTGAGTGGGGCGTGCAGGAGAGTCACATGTGCTACATCTGAAGTCGTTTGCTCTGCCTTCCATTTGATAGGGTCTTTGATTAAAAACTCACCTGTGCCCTAGAAAAATCTCTCTCGCTCCCTCTCTCTCTGCCCCTAACCTGGATTAAATCCCTTGTGAACAAAATGATCACTCTCTCTCTGTTATACTTTAAAAGCAGTGCGCACTGCGGTCTAGACTAACATCCTCAAGCAAAAAAAGCAGTGGTTCTCAATCCTGTTCCTGCCCCTTCCCCTCTCCCTGTCGGAATGTTCTGATTCCAATGCTACCTTAATCAGGCTCAGATGGTCCTTGATCAGCTAATAATGAATGTGACCAGTTGAAAGCAATGTGGGTTGGAATGACAACATTCTGGCGGGTGGTGGGAACAGGAACAGGATTGTGATGTACGGCTTTTTTTGTTCAAGGGTATCGCTCTAGACCGCAGTGGTGCTCAGATCGAGAGTTCTTTGGCCTGACGAATGCTGCTGCTCACAGTGGAGCCTAGAAACCAGCCAGGTTGTTAAAGACACAGGCAGTTTCTACATCACACTGTTCTGGCCCTGCACCATCTGTGCAGTGTTCCTTTATCCTGCCATCTTGTGGACACATTGGGTACTGTAGCTCCATGACTCATTGGCATAAATGTTATCTAACGCTCCACTGATTCCAAAACAGAATTAACAGTACCACTCCCCCCCCATCCTTACTCCCTACATATTTGGCCTAACATACTGCCCCCTTAATAGGCTGCTATGCAACACAGCACATATAATTAAATAAAAGGAGGCATGTAAGTGATCGGGCGTGTGTCTTGTGATCGAGTTGATGATGAATGCTGGCCTTCCTGTCTGACCGACGCTTCTCTCTCGTTATACAGCGGCGTCTCCACGACGATAGACCCCTTCTGTGATATCAGCCTGGACCTGCCAGGGTCCTCTATGCCCTTCTGGCCGCTGAGTCCCGGTGGCGATGGAAATGTGGTCAACGGGGAGAGTCATCTCTCGGGCTCCACAACACTCACAGACTGCCTGCGGAGGTAGGACCCCGTCTTCTATGTGAGCTCCTTCAGTGGGATTGCTGCCCTTGCTCCATTCGTCATCGTGCAACATTCTGACATGTGGTTCAGTCTGTTTGAGGACCAGGACCCACGCACTGTTCACTCTTGCAGCTATGGACCTTTTCATTCACATTCATGAACTTACTGTTCCAAGGATCCACAAGATCCCTGTAGATCCCTAACAGTAGCACACCTCGTTCACCTGGTCACCTAATTACTGAGTCTCCTTAGAGCTGCACCATAACCTAAACCTTCAGTCCGCTGGACCCTCAGGGCCGGAGCTGGGGATTGTCCCGCGAAGCGCGATCGGTGACGCGTGTGCAATCGGTGACGCGTGTGCGCCCCTCGCAGGTTCACGCGACCAGAGCACCTCGGTAGCAGTGCCAAAATCAAGTGTGGCGGTTGCCATAGTTACCAGGAGTCCACCAAGCAGCTGACGATGAAGAAGCTGCCCATCGTGGCATGTTTCCACCTCAAAGTGAGTTCTGCCGTTGCCATGGCGCCCAGAACGGCTGCGTCTGTTTACATTCCTAAGCTTTGCCGTTAAAACCTGCTTAAATGTCACAGTCGCTTATTTATTCCTATTAAAGAGCACAGAGCCTGGGTTTACATCATGGCGGCTCTGCTTCTCCTTGTGAGTCACGCTCCTATTTAACGTCTCTTCTCCTTCTTTGTTCTGTCACTTTTCTTTCTTCTTCACATCCTCCCTCTCTCCCTGCGGCAGCGCTTCGAACACTCGGCCAAGCTGCGGAGGAAGATCACCACCTACGTGTCCTTCCCGCTGGAGCTGGACATGACGCCCTTCATGGCCTCCAGGTGTGCGGCCACGATCTGGGACCCGGAACCTTCCCTTACCATGCAGGACTGACCTGTTACTGTGGCCCAGTCGGTGTTACGGCTGGGGGTTATGGCTAATAAACTGCGTCAATGATCAGAAGGTTGCTAGTTCAAATCCCCGGGTTGGCAAAGTGATGTCACCATTGGGCCCTTGACCAAGGCCCTTAACCCCTGCATTTGCTCCAGAGACTGTCTGACTCTGCTTTCTCAAAAATGTATGTCTTTGTGAATAGTTTCATTAATTTATTCATTTGATTAGCATACGTATGCTAATCAAATGAATAAATGAATGCAACTTCTGCTACATAAAAGTATTTGGAAGGCGGAGCATGCGAGGTATAGTGGAAGTGCGTTAAATGGGTCATGCGACCCCCTTTCCTGCTACCCCTTATATAAATGCAGCTTCTCTCTGACTGCTTGCCAGTTAATACTTTCAAATCTTGGCAGGATTAGCTAGTACAGTATTAGTTCAGGATTAGTTTGATTGACACCCCAATCTAGGCTGCTCCCCTGCCTCATGCAATAGCATCCAGACCCACTGCGACACCAAACGGGATAAGCCCAGATGGATGAGTTTGATTGTGGGGTTGGCGAGGCATCCATACCACCTGACTACCGGGGGTATGTTCTTGGTTTATATGGCTGCCATTAGAGGACAGCAGCTTGGAGTCTCCTCCAGCTTTGTGGGCGCTGCAGGAACATCATGTGTTAACGCCTGACTTCTCTGTATAGGACCGCATCCTACTGTACCATCAGAAGTCAGGCGTTAACACACGAGGGAGTCACAGTGTTTCTGTGACTCCTCTGTATAGGACCGCATCCTCCTGTACCATCAGGAGTCACAGAAACACTGTGACTCCCTCGTGTGTTAACGCCTGACTTCTGATGGTACAGGAGGATGCGGTCCTATACAGAGGAGTCACAGAAACACTGTGACTCCCTCATGTATGAATTCTTGACTTCGAGTGGGACAGGAAAGAGACCATCCAGTGTAGAGGAGTGACGGAAATGCTGTGACTCCCCCATGATGTGTTGATGCCTGACTTCTGATGGTCAAGGGGGAAGCCATCTGGTACAGAGGAGTCACAGAAACACTGTAACTCACCAAATGCTTTCTGTCCTTTTTCTCTGTTCGCTGTTCTGCAGTAAAGAGAGCAGAATGAACGGACAGTACCAGCAGCCCCTGGACACGTTAAACAATGACAATAAGTAGGTATTTCCGTCTGGCCGAAACAGTGTCATCTTTTATATCTATATTTGCATCAATGCGCTACAGGTGGCAGCATCAGGAAGTGTGTAGGACAGCAGTCTCTGCATCTGTCATGCAGAAAGTTGCTTCTGCTGCAGGACCTTCATGAAACGCGTCCTTCTGCTGCAGGTACTCGCTATTTGCCGTCGTCAATCACCAGGGCACCCTGGAGAGCGGACATTACACGAGCTTCATCCGCCAGCACAGGGACCAGTGGTTCAAGTGTGACGACGCCGTCATCACGAAGGCCACCATCAAGGACGTGCTGGACAGCGAAGGGTGAGCCCCCAGACCTTCACCTGGGGTGGGGAGTTAAGGCTTTAAAAGGCTTCCCTGGCCAGCAGGGCAGCCTCCATAGATGTCGGTGTGGGGTGTCTGTCTCTGAAAAAGCATGGTTCATTTGTCAAAGAACATCATTCCTTTGTCAAGCATAAAGGAACCAAATAGAAAATCATGGCACTGATGCCTGTGTCTCCCAGAATGAAACATGTCCAATGTATTATTTCCGCTGGCCCCAAACGAAGTATTGTTAGTCAGATGCGTGAAACGCACGTGATGCAATGTAGCAGCGCCACAGAGAGATGGAACAGAGGGCTGATCATGATGCCTGTGACTTGCACAAAATGTTCTGAGGGCAGAAGGAAAAATGATTAGTTCAGAGAGGTAACCAATCAGATTGTAGGGGAAGTGAGTCCAATCCACTAGACCCACCTCCTGTACAATCTGATTGGTTACCTCTCTGAACCAATTATTTTTCCTTCTGCCCTCTGAACATTTTTTTTGTGTAAAACTCCCATGAGCTTTTCAGCAGACAGCAGAGAGCATCATCGGGGTTCCTCTCCCTGCCATCTCCCACCTGTACCAAAAGCACATCATCCGTCGTGCGAACAGCACAGTGAAGGACACTTCCCACCCCTCGCATGCACTGTTCTCTCTCCTTCCGTCTGGTGGACGGTTCCGCAGCATCAGAACTGTAACTGCCAGACACTGCAAGAGCTTCTTTCCTCAAGCAGTCAGAGCTCTCAACTCACTGCCACCAAAGGAACGTTAAACCACAAAACAAACACGTCTACTTCATACCAAATTTGCACTTGTTATAACTGGCATTAACTGTAATTGCACACTTTGTATTCTATTCATAAAAACTTAGCTAGAATTTATAATTTATTGTATTTTTTGGTATATTTTATCTTTATAATGCACCATGCGGGACCAGTGTGGAATGACGTTTCAATGCACTGTATACTGTGTATATTGTTGTATTGACAATAAACCAAATCTTGAATCTTGAGAACTGCTATGTTTCCCTTGTTTAGAAGCCGGTGGAATAGCTGCCATTTTGTTTGTGCTCACAATGTAGGATAAACAGGAAGTGCGTGACTATGAATAGCAATTAATTTTGACTCGGGATCCCTAAGGGGATACTTTTTATGATTAAACACTACTTAGCACAAATCAGCCGGGAAGTCTTGGCATTCAGTGTTTAGGTTATCATTTAAATTAATACTCTTACTAATTAATTTGTAGAAATTTAACCCATTGCTGTATTTTACCCGCAGGTATCTTTTATTTTATCACAAGCAATTCCTTGAATATGAGTAGCTTTCACCCTGAGCCAGGGAAAGATGTGTCCCAAAGGGAATGAAATGCAGCGCACAGACCTACCTGGAACTCCAGCTTAAGACCGTTTTTCAGCTGCGGGTGATCAAACGGAAAACGACAAGCGAATCATGCGAACGTCCTGCAATCCTGCACTGCTACAGTCCATCTGACTCGGAAGAGGAAGGAAGTTACCAGGACCAGCCGAGGCCCAGGAAGATTTCACGTCCTGTATCTGCTCCAGGCACCGGAATGGATGTCGGCAGATGGATGGATGGATGTGTGGAGCTACAAGTGGGTGCATCTCACCACCTTTTACAGTATTTTCGGACACACCCCCCACCCCTCCATGGTGCTCAAGATCCAACTGACCAAACATTGTGGCAGTCACAATGGAATGGATTAGGTTTGTGTGCGTGTGTGTGTCCGTGTGTGTGTATGTGTGTGCGCGCGTGTTTTTTTTTTTTTTTTTTTAATGCTTGATCTTATGCATTTCCGTCTGAATGCACAAATCTGACACTATAGTATTATGAATGTCGCAAGAATGTTTTTTTTTGTTTGTTTCGACAATGTACGATTTGTGAATTCGTTTATGAAATACTGTATGACTCTATATCTATTTTTACAAAGAGAGAGCGAGAAATACTTGTGGGAGAGCAGTTCCACCGAGACAGTGTTTATTTCTGTACAATCCGTAGATCCAGGCTGGGTGGGGTCCTTTCCGGATGTTAGGGCAGTGGGTGTCACTACTCAGTGACAGGGACCTGAACGTACCTCAGCTTCCCCAACCCCCTTTTCATTCATTAAGTCCCTAATTGCCACCCCCCCCCCCCCATCTCTCATTCATCAGAGTGCTGTCATGTTATGGTACTGATTTAGTTCATGGGTGTTAATTATATATGATATTATATATAAAAGAATATAATATTATATAATATTTGTTGTGAAGATGTTTTGGTATTATGACACTAGTGATGATGATGATGACGGTTCTTCGTAGTATTAAACGATTTCACCTAAAACAAGATATATCAATTAAGGAATGCACCCCCCCAACAAAGTATTTTAGCATGCTGTGGGACACCTTTCTGGGTTCGAGCCCCTTAGAAGCACATTGCAGTGGTTTAGACTATTGCCTTTTCAGCTCGCTGATGAGGTCTCAGGATATGAAATGTCACCATTTCAGGGCCCCGTGTGAAAATCACCACTGCAGAGTGAGTCTGCTGCCCTCTAGAGCCCACAGTGTGTATCATCTGCCACAGGGGCCAGTATCTACTGCCTGTGTTCTTTTGTTACATTTTGTTCTACGTTTGTCTGGGTGAACAGTTGATGTGCATGGACTGCTTCGCATTCGTGTATCGATCCTGCAGTGCTGCAGTAGCAATGCAGCATGACTGACTCTATGCAGTATTGCGACATGGTGCCGGGTTAATCACATGACACAGTGCTGCCCTGGGCCTCTGTAGCCTGCATGTCTGTAGGTTTTATTGTAATTGTCACCTGTTATGTTGCCACAAGGGGGCAGTGTGTGTGTGTTCACGCTGTGCTGTGGGCTGTGACCTCTGTGTCACCAGCCTGAGAAACGATGTTCAGGGAATGAACTGAAGCTTCTCCATTATTCATATTTGAATTATTTGAATTTTTTTTTATTTTTATTTTTCCGAAGGAGAGCTTTGTCTTTTGTCTCAGTGATTAAAAGCAATTTGGGGAACTGGAATAAATCTCAAATTCCTGGTCTGTGTCACTTCCGAATTCCTTTCCTTCCTAAGCTCAAAGCCGCAGGGATTTTAGGAAATGTAGCAGCTCGGATCGAAAAACTGGTTAACAGACAGGAAGCAGCGAGTAGTTATTGGAGGCACAATGTCGCAGTGGGTCTGTGTTCATAGTGTGGTACCGCAGGGTTCAATTGTTCCTAATTTACATTAAAGATATTGACACCAATGCATACAGTAAACTGGTTAAATTTGCAGACAACACCAAGGTGGCTGGTGTAGCAGCAGAGAGGCTACAACAGGATCTGGATTTAATTAGTGACTGGGCTGATACCTGGCAGGTGAAATTTAACATAGATAAATGTACGGTAATCCATGCAGGGAGCAGAAATATAAAGTACAGATATTTTATGGGTTCCACTGAAATAAAGGTAGCTGATTACGAGAAAGATCGCGGTGTGTATGTTGATGCTTCCATGTCCCACTCTCGCCAGTGTGGGGAAGCAATAAAAAAAGGCCAATAGAATGTTGGGTTATATCTCTAGGTGTGTGGAGTTTAAGTCAAGGGAGGTGATGCTATGATTGTATAATTCCTTGGTAAGACCCCACCTAGAATATTGTGTGCAGGTTTGGTCACCATACCTTAAGAAGGACATTGCTGCCTTGGAAAAGGTACAATGTAGGGGTACGAGAATGATTCCTGGTCTTAGAGGAATGTCTTAGGAGAGGTTAGCTGAGCTGAATCTGTTTAGCCTCGAGCAAAGGAGACTAAGGGGGGATATGATCCAGGTATATAAGATTCTAACGGGTCTGGATGCTGTTCAACTCGTGGCCATAAGTGGAAATTAGCGGGAGAACATTTTAAAACGAATTTGAGGAAGCACTTCTTTACACAGCGTGTAGTTAGAGTATGGAATAGTCTTCCTGCTAGTGTAGCGGAAGCTAAAACCCTGGGTTCCTTTAAATCAGAGCTAGATAAGATTTTAACAACTCTGAGCTGTTAAGTTCTCCCAAAACCAGCTTGATGGGTCGAATGGCCTCCTCCCATTTGTAATTTTTTTATGTTTTTATGTTTCTCCCCCCCCCCCCCCCCCTGCCCCCGACACTGCTATGCTGAAATTAACACGTGGGCAAAGAGCAATGTTTTAGCTGCACTTCTACCAGTATGGAGCGACGGACTGAACTCAGCCTAAGTAAAAATAAACACACCCCCGGCCTATTTTCGGCCGAGCGGACACAGAGGACCGAATGAGAGGTGACAGGCAAACCGTTGTGCGCGCTGCACAGCTGCCTTAACAGGTGTGAACTGCGATTACCTGTCACTTTATGTCACCATGACGACGGGCAACCTGCAGCCTCCTGGCTGGTAATGAGGTGCAGCTCCTGTCATTCAACGGACACTTGGAAGGTCACCTCGCCGTTCACGTGATGTGCAAGGAGCTGGTGAGTGATTGGTGCTCAAACACACCCTGACGTCCGTTCCCTGCCGGCCTCCAGAGGACCACACGGATACCACTAACAAGTTCCCCCATGGTCCATGAGACATACGGCCCAAAATGTGTACTGTTTGCGAGCCTCTGCGTCATGGCTTTCTGGTAAGTGTGGGTGCATACCTACAAAGCGCTGGATGAAGGCTGTTCATGAACGTGTTTTCAGCAGTAGACAGCTCCTGAAAAAATTGACTCCAAGCAAAATTTTTCAGTTTCTCTCACTTCTCAATTTATGGGTATGTGCCTGTGTGAACTATACACAGGGCTCCCGCGGGGTCTTAAAAAGTCTAAAAAAGTCTACTATTCAGAAAGTTAAATTTAAGGCCTTAAAATGTCTTAAAAATGCCCAGATTTTCATCCTACAGTAGGTCTTAAATTCAATTTACCCAAGTCTTAAAATTCTTACCGCCGTTCATTCCCAAAAAGCGTTGTCCGCAGAAAATAAAATAGTAAATCACTGTAAAACTAATCCGTTGGTTGTGTTTTCTGGTCTGCACCGGTGTCTGCGTGGTAATAAAACTACAAATCCCATTGCGTGATCACTGCAGCTAGGCAACCATCCAGTTTGAGAAGGGTCTGGCTGCAGAACGTGCACTTTCAGCCACTGACGCCAGGTGCACGCTCAGCCACAACAGGAAGTGCAGGCGAATCAAGCGCTAACTTAGTTCTTGAGGCCAATGTCAACGGTATGTTGTTTTATTATTTGTATTACTGAATGACATAATTACAAGTTTGTTTCATGCCATACATTATTGCAATGTAAATGTTTTGGTGTAGTAACTTTTTTCTCTGATGACTGGAGTGATTTTTTTCAGTTAAAAGGCAACTACTAGCCAGTTGGCTCACGTTACCTTAAATTATAATTAAAATAAACACATTTCTACTTTTACAGAGCTTTTCATGGAGTTACCTTGTGAATGTCTTAGTTTCCATGATATAGTTTTTAGTTGTTTGTGTGGTCTTGAGGAGAACGTTTCTCGGTCTCCTTATGGTAAGGCAAGTTTTTATTATCATACACAGGGGTTATTTAATATGCTTTATAATAACAAGATTTTAAAAAGTTAAACCAAGACAAAAAAAGCAAAATAGAGATGGAAAATTGCTTAGAAAATCTAAAAAATCTGATTAAAAGTGCAGTATGTCCTGCCCCGCTCATCCGCTCCTCCCGTGTGCCACGCCCCCTCGTTAACCCCTTGTGGATTCCCCGTGTTTATCAGCTGTTTCCAGTTGTTTTCATTATCGTTGATGGGTCTGGAACGTAACTTCCGCGATAGGCGGGGGATCACTATATATTTTAAGGCTTAAACTATAAAAAAGTTTATGTATATGGTCTTTCTATATCGCGGATTTTCACCTATGGCTGATGGGTCTGGATCCCCCGCCTATCGCGGAAGTTACGTTCCAGACCCATCAGCAATAGGTGAAAATCCGCAATATAGAAAGACCATATACATAAACTTTTTATAGTTTAAGCCTTAAAATACCACTCCCACATGCTTTAAACACATGTGAACTTATTAAAACGCACTTTGTAAACACATATGATATGTGGATGTTGGGCTAAGGATATGAGTGACATAAAATATGAGAAATTCTGGTATCATTCGAATGTTTCTAGTAATGCATCGTGTTGGTCTCAAATTTTACTCATAATGGTCTTAAAATGTCTTAAAATGGTCTTAAATTTAACTTACTGAAACCTGCAAGAACCCTGATTTATTACTGAAAAACAAAGTAAACATTTAATGTGGAGAAAAAGCCATTTCCACATTTTCCGCTAATAATGTGCCGGCTTGCGCTCTCCTGAAACGCCATAGAGTTTAGTGACTGAACGGCGCAAATAAGACGATTGGTGAGGAAAAACCCGTGAACGGCAGGCGGCAAATTTGTGCATGTGTGTGCTGTAATAGGGCACTGTGTGTGTGTGTGTCTGTGTCTGTGTCTGTGTGTGTGTGTGTGTTCTAAGTGGCCGCTTTGTGTGTGTGTGGACTGTAACAGCACACGGTGTGTGTGTGTGTTTGCATAGATCACATTTGATAAAATTGTCCCCAAAGTGTAGTAAAACACACACATACACAGAGACACACAAATACACAATAAATTTACCTTGTGAATTATCCTAATAACCGTGGGAAAATTATTTTTCTATTTTCTTGCTGCCATCTCCTGGCCGAATGTAAGTATTGCAATTACCAGAAAGGGGTCTTCTCACTTTGGAGAGAAGCTCATTGTTGAGCTTGCAGAAGCTTCTCTGGCACCAGAACACGATGCTGTATAATTTAATAGAAGCAGAAGAGCAGGAGAAGGAGGGACTGGTGAGTTTTGGGCCCTCAGAACCCCAGTCTGATGCTGTGGTCCACGCAGGGTCTGCCTGCGTGCATCGGTGACCTCACTGGGGGAGCATTTTCTAATCATGTTTCAGTCATCGGATCTGTTTTTACAGCATAGCCAACAAATAAGCATTTTCCTCACTGCTGGCAGCCTGTACCTGTGTCTCATTGTTCTGATTATAGAGGATAATGAGGCAGTTTGAATGCTGGTGCCAGTAGCTGTTTGGTTCCGATGCTCAGCCCTGAATGGCCACTTTCTCTCCAGCTATTGAGATGCACCCCCCCCCTCAGTCAGCCCGGAGGTGAGATTCAGCTGGGAAGCATAATGCAGGTAGGTAACTATCACAGAAGTGTAACAGGACCCTCACAGGACCGCTGCAAAACCATAACATACCGGTTAGAGGGACGTGAGATGAGACCAGGTGACTGATGGCACTGAAGCAGACTCTTTAACTTGATTAACACTCCAGCTCCGGAATCATTAATTAGAGCTGGTGCTTAATCGGGGGGGAGGGGGGATCACTCACTCCGCTTAAAGCACCCAGCTCACCGGGGAAAACCCCCACAGACCACACAGACTCTGTACACAGGCAGCAGCCCTTTCCCAGGGATTCACTGAACACAGCAGCCCTTTCCCAGGGATTCACTGAACACAGCAGCCCTTTCCCAGGGTTTGTCTGGGACGCTGGAGCGTCCGCAGGTCACCTATCTCATTAGAGCAGCTATGTGTAGCTCAAACAAGCCCCGTCACACCCTCCAGCCTCATAAAGGTGCCTCCAAAACTTCCTCTAAATGTCTATCAGCTGAAAGTGACATTAAAAGCGCGAGCCCGAGATCAAAGGCGCACTTGTGGTGGGCAGAGTAGAAGAGTGACATCAGAGGGTTTGAGACGGCCCACAGGTAAACACCTGAGTCAGCGGCACTGTGAAACCATGGTGTTACTTTATTTGGGGTCACTCTAGGTCTAGTGCACAGCTGCGCAATTTAACAGCTGGTTGGTAAACATTTAAAAGTAGATTTTTAAATATTTATTCAGATAGACCATAAGACTACAGCTTGTTTTTTTAAACCACAGCGCCTTTTTAAAAAATGCCAGTTCACAGGGTGGACTGTCAAGCTACACAAAGATTTTATCACCTATTCTTTTAACACTGTGTCATTTTAGTATATAAGTTAATCATATTTTTAAAGTTTCATTAAGCTTTTCTAATGCTATTGTTTATATGAATATATTCTGTGGATGGCAGGAATTTGACAAATCACAGCAGTGACCCCTTCCAAAGGTCAGTCTTCCTCCTCTGTTGTGGGAGTCATTGTATTTGTATTTCTGTGAGGCATTTCTATGGATCAGCTGAGAAACAATAGACTTTGCGGTGTTTCTGTGGGTCATCTTCTCTATAATTACATGCATCGCAGGGACTGACTAATAGCAGTGCCCCAAAGCCCTAGGTTGTTTTTACGGTTGACATGATTGAAAATGTTCCTGTTCTCTATCCATGAATGTAATGACTTCCTGCATGGTGACACAGGAGAAGAAGAATGAAAGGGAAGCTAGTAGAAGGAGGGTGTGTGCGGTGTCGCTCTGTTAAGATCTACGAGGTCTTTGCTCCAGGAGGCCTGGACATTGCAGGCAGGCAGCTATTTACCTTTAATCAGCTGTGCCAATTATGCAGAATCAATGACTTCTTGTGGTGTCCTTTGTTCCCCTTGATATGGCCTTCAGGATGCTGCAGGCAAGGTTCTGGACCGCTGGACTATCATGTCCCGGGAGGAGGAGATCATGACCCTGCAGTAGTTATCAGGGCTTCGTCGACATTGCAGAGCAGTTACAGTCAGTTCTCGCACCCGCGCCCCGTAGCGGTCAGGGTCCTCAGCCTCCCATGCTCTATCAGCAGCCCATGTGATAATTACCTGGGCCAAACAAACCCATCCCTCACCTGTACTATTCACGCCTACTAGCAAATGAACTGTAGTGAAACCTCAGTGATTGGACTCATCAGCCTGAGTCAGATAGAGGACTGGATTGTTCCCAGCAAACTCTTGTTGTAATCGGTCATGTGTGGCCTTAAGGGGCTCCTCCACTGCCCGCGACTTAACATGTATGTAATAGTTTGGGGTCTATTTCTTTTCTTTTTTGCTTAAAGGTTTTCTACCTGACTATGTTATCTGGTGGCAACATTGGTTACCTTGCTGAGATCCGAATGAAAGGAAAATAAGGATAAAAGAAATAGTGGGTTTGCTTAGTCTGTCGAGTGGAATCCAGTTATACCTCCAAGTGGATGTTGTTATTCCTTTCAAGTTGGGGAAATTGCACAAAAGAAAAAGGGACAATTTGACAAGCACTCAGGTGTGGACATGGTCAGCAGCAGCACTCAGGTAGGCTGCGGTCATCAAGGGATGGACACGGCCAGCAGCAGCACTGTTCAGTCAAACAACGTAGGCTGTTACGATCTAATGGGTGTGATATCGCTTGTGACGTAACGCATGCGACGTAGCAGGAAGTAGGTGAAACGATTTAGTTTGGAGACGCGTATAAGAAGCCGGCTTGTATGTTTGATTGTTTCGCCGTTCTGGGAGATTGTGCAGAAGAACATCAGAGACTGGAGAGGCAGCCGGTAAGAGGATTTAATTTTTATATTGTGAGGTTTACTGTTGCTGCCGGTGAAATCTGCAGTTGTGGCTGATAACTGCTGTAACTATGGTGGTTGTAGCGGTTCTCTTAAGGTATAAGTTGTTGAGCGACAGCATTATGAGTTTGGGCAGGGGACTTAGGGTTAGGGCAGGGGATTTGGGATTAGGGTTAGGGCTGGGCTACCTCACACCATCTGGTGCCCACCCCTTCACCTCCCATCCCCTGGCATCGCTGCCAAACACATAAGGCTTAATATATGCCCACTGGGTCTTAATAATCCTTTTTTAATTTTTCCCTCCTAGGGCTTTGAAAGATGTCTCCAGGACTTAAGGTAAGTATGTATAGGACACTGTTATTATATTATTGCCAACTAGATTTATAATTATAATTATTATTATTTCCGCACTATGGTTACAGTTATGGTATCGCGAGAGGGCGGTGCAATGGGTGTGGCTGCACCCCCTGGCCCCGCCCCCCGGCCGGCGCAGGGGGCGTGCCTGGGCGTGGCCTGGCGCACAGGCGCCACGCGTGCGAAGGAAGGCAGTATCTCGCTCCGTTTGCAAGATATTGCGAAAAAACGTCATAACTTTATTTCCATGTAGGCGGGCTTTGATTTGATTGGTGCAGGTGGCCTCTACTGGTGGAGAGGGATCTGAGGAACTTTGTTGCGACAGATTTACCAACAGCTCTACAATAAGACATCAATGGTCCATTCATAAACACCTTAATGTCATAAACTGTCCATGTTCAAAATTCACACATCTCAAAATGCACAACACAAAACACTATCAACTTTCTTTAGAAGTTTTCTTTTTGACTTTTATTTAATGAAACTGATTCATCTTGATGTGCTGAAATCACCGTGTAAAACAGCTGCCAAGACGCTGGCTTGCTAAAGGCATTACATGGTGGCTTCTGACGTTACAAATATTTTACCTTAATCAGTGCTTTTCACAGTTACTGCTCAATGAACGAACCATTTGCCAATAGAAACGAATAGTGACAGATAAAAGGCAATAAGGAGAGCTTGCAAAATACTGCACATTTACATCCTGTTCTGACAAGACTACAAATGCACCAGCACAACCTTAAACATGTTATTCCTATGCAAAATAATTTCCCAGTATCTATAACTTACATCTTGTTTAGGAAGAACATATTCACTACAACGCACACCTCATTTTTAAAGTTATAACAGTTAAGGTTCCAAGAGCACAGCATTAAAAACGACGGGCTTGATTTCATGTATAGAAGCAGAATTTTTTTTTGTCTATAAATAACAGGGTGTTTTGCAAAATCGAGCCTGCGACACCAGACCCCACGTTTAAGGGCAGATTCTACAGTACCAGGATTACACAGAGGCACTATGGTGAATACGAACAGTGTGACAGTAATCCCGCCCAACGGCGCCTTTAATAACGGAGGCATATGGGACATATGCAAAAGACACTTAATTCCCAACTTCAGGTGCGTAACGCTTTGAGCTACGGTACGTGTAAAAACAGGCTAGATGCTAAATTACTATATTTTACTCACTGCGTCTCCAACCGACTGCACGTCTACTATATGCTCTTATTTTACTGTAAAAGCTGTCAGTTGTCGTGAATTAAGTTAATGATCAAAAGTATATATACCGTCAGCAGAAGGAATGCGGGAGAACGCTTTGCAGTCAAAGGCGCACAGAGGGGACTACAAAACACAAACCCCTCATTAAAAAAGGAGGACACAAAACGAACAAAACGATAAATGCAGATACACTGTACAAATGGTAAGCAAAGATAATGATCTCGCTTAGTCATAAAGCAAGGGGAGTTTGTTTGATTCCTAGGAACAGTGTCGTGAAGAAGGAAGGTGGACAGCCTTGAGAGCCATTTAAAAACTAAGCATATAAACCGCATATTAACAGATCGCTTTTAAACATATCTTGACTTTGATGTAAAAAAAAAAAAAAAAAGCGAGAGAGAGAGAGAAATGCTGGTCCTGAAGGGCAGCGGGGCTGAGGTTCCGTTCTCCGTGTCGGAGGTGCGTGGGATCGTTCCGTTTTTGTTGCGCAAGCTGTTAACCACTTACTGGTGCGAAACGCCCCGAGATACGAGTGGTTAAACCCGGAGTTTTGCAGCCCTTCTGGGTTGGAGTTTCCCACCTCCCGGAAACTATTACGCCTTGTGTAAAGGCTACCAACACCGGCGGTTACACGTCACCTAAGGAGTAATGCTCCATACCGGGAGGGATTTCTGGCATGACAAGGACCTGGAGCCTGAAACCAGGACGCTGTTTTGCTGCTTTTGGGCTGAAACCAAAATTGTGAAAGTAGTTTTCATCTGTAATATACAGGACATAACTGTGTTTCTATGTCAAGGCAGTTTCCCCTTCTCATGATATCCAATATGGATTACCTACCACGCATCATGGCAATAACAGCAAGAGTTCAAAAGCTTACAAAACACATAAAAGCAAGTGCTCACTTTATTGTTAACTTATGACATTTTCTTCCTTAGTCTGAAGTCATAATAAATAATATTGAATTTAATATCGTTCAGATTTAAGCAGCCCCTAATTTATCTTCGGATTTTCCAAAGTGTCTCGTTTTGGCATGTCCTTGACCTCGATGTAAAATGAAAACAAAGTTTTGAACTGTGTAATGTAATAAATTTCAGGTAGCACTATTCCAGCCAATTAGTCCAGACAAAAACACTGATTTGCTGTTAATTCCAATTCATTTCATGTAATCTCTGTAGAGACCAGATGGGTATTAAATACATGCAACACATTTGGGATTCAAGAAATGCTCACCCTTTGGAATTACCTGGATTTCTGCATAAACGGCTTGTAATATCAACAGAGGAAACCACCGCTCTCCAAAAATAAATGAATAAAAACACTATGGCCTATCAGAAGGCTGCTAGAGAGCGTCTGCATGTTCTACATCACTATCTAGACAGTATTCCATTGATAGACGAGACAAAGGTCGAGCTTTCTGGTAAACAGACACCATTATGTTTGCAGAAAACAAAGGTCCACATACCAGCACCACTTCCTCATCCTAACCGTGAGGTATGACAGAGGGCGGATTATGGTTCGTCGCTGCTTGGATGACTTGCAATCACCAAGGAACCGATGAATTCAAAGGTTCAGGATCGGGAAAAATCCGACAGCAGAATATCAGCATGTCTGTCTTATCTAAACCACAAGGAAAGTCCAGTGGTACCCCATGACAGAGATCCAAAACGCGGGAATTAATCAACAACAGAGTAGCTCATATGGAAGACAATCTGCCTTTTAGAGTCCTGACCTTAATAGCATTGAACTGCTGTGGCATGACCTGAAGCAGCCTGTTCAAGGAAGATATTGCGCAAAAATATACAGGAAGTGAAACAGCACTGTGTAGAACGGGCCAAAATCCCCCTAACAACTGCCCAGCTCTGGTCAGCAGGAGACAGAGAAAGCATCTCAGAGTATTGCCAAAAAAAGAAGTTCCGCTAGTTACTAAATATCTCTCTTCCACTCGATGGCCTTGCAGGTTAAACAAAGATTTCATCAATAAAGATATTGCAATGCAAAATGTTCTGCCTCCTATGTTAGATAAAACATCTATGAGCCATAGATCAGATTCTATCAGCAGAAATACAGATAATTCCAAAGGATTCACATTTTCTCACATCTGCATGTGTGTGTATATGTATTTGCATTTTAGTATTTTATACTGTAAGTGCTTAACTGTCAAGACTCAGATAAGGATAAAAGGTCATAAGCAGTACGGTTGCCTTGCCGGTGCTGGAAATTTTGAAGCACAGTGCACAACACAGAGTATGTGGGAGAGCAATGAACGTCACAATGAAGTCACCTGGCAAAGCTCCTCCCCTTGGCTCACCCCAGCCAATGAACAATCATCATGGGCGGGACAGAGGCGGGGCCAGGAAAAAGGTGCACCTCAATTGAAAAAACCATAGGCACTAGGAAGGGGCAGAGAAGGGTGTGGAGTTTGGGCTGTGGGCAGCCGACTTGACGATGGTGATGACGCTGGTGCTGCCCCCTTTGCCGATGGCAGGCGACCCGATGGCAGGCGACCCGTGTGCGACCGTCCGTGCGAAGCACTGCAGGGCCTCGTACTTGGAGCGCAGGGCGTCCAGCTCCAGCCGCATGCTGGCGTTCTCGTGCGCCAGCTTGTCCACCTCGCGTTGCAGCTCCGCCTTCTGCCGCTCCAGCTCCTCCCTCTGCGTGACGCGCTTGATGCGGCAGCTGGCGGCGTAGCCGCGGTTCTTAAGCGTGCGCCGTCGCTGCTTCAGCCGCACCACGTCCTCCTTGGTGAGGCCGCGCAGGTGCTGGTTCAGCTCCCGCACCGACATGGCCACCAAGTCGTCATCGCTAAGGACAGGGGCATTCTCCCCCACCTCCTTCTTTACCTGGAGGAACATGGTAGGGGCGGGGCCCCAAACACCCAACTACATTAGTGATAATGACAGTATCTACTAATCCCGTTACTGCTTATCTGCCTGCTGGTTGTACTGGTTATTTAAATGCATTCCACATAATGTGAAATCTGCTCAAGCTGGATTTAGAGCTTGTGTATCACAGTAAGGATAAGTGTCTGTGCAGGAAAAGTTGCTGTCATGTTAAAAACCCGAAGCAAACAAAGCAAACTTTTCACTGAGCCTAAAAACTGGGATCTTTTCAGCACTGAAAACCCGATAAAACGCCGTTAGCGATTACCAGTGGTGGAGGTTCCAGGTCCAGAGAGTACAAATCCAGACCAAGATTTTGTTTCAACCAACCAGTTGAGTATAAAGAGTCAAAGTCACAGAGTACTCAACTCTCTGGACCTGAATTCTCCACCTCTGGTGATTACTGCAATGCACTCTCACCTTTAAAGCGTTGCTTCCTTTTACATTAGTCGTCATACCCTGTATACATCCACTTGGCCAGAATCCCTCAGAAATATGCCTAGAGAAAAAAAACATTCAAAACGGCATTTTCAGTTATACATCGTTTGAAATGGAGTGAAAGAACCGAGCTTGGATATGATGGATTAATGCCTGACAAAACGAAGCCAACTGTCAGCAGATGGCGCTGTTCGCCGTGATATGATCGCCAATCCCGCCCTGTGTATTGCTATGTAAGGCTTGTCAAACGCAACACGTGGTACGTATAATGCTGTGCAAGGGCTTTCAGACCAACCGTTTGGAAGTTTAATCCCATAACTCGTGGGAAGTCACTCACTGACACTCAAATTTTGTCTGATTTCCCGTGAAAATATGGACTGCACGTGTGAGTTTTTTGTTAGTGGCCGTAGTAAGTAGTAATACGCTTGGGGGCGTGTGCGACTGCGTGCGCTCCAAGGCGATAGTGCGAAGATTATTAAATTCATTCAATAACATATAATACGGAAATATTAATCTAAGACTCCATTTTGTCTTATTATCGTGAATTTGTTCACTAATGGGTCAACGAAATATTCCCACAGCCGAGGCGTGTTTAACTGACGAAAATGTCAGTCGTCTAAATGTCAGCAGCCTGGGAGTGGTTAGCCTGCTCTTTAAACAAGCATGACTTATTTTAAAACGTCCCACGTACTATGCCTAGAAATTCTTGCGCAATTTAAATAGCCTATCACTGGAAAATAAGGGTCGAAAAATTTTTAAAAGTGATGTAAGGGAGAAAATGACATTGGGGTAGATGAACTACTTGGTTTATCTACTAAAAAATCTGGAATGCAAGAAAAGCATGCGGAAATATTTCTTTAAAACGGAAAGCTAAATATGTGTTGTCCCTCGGACTGGGGACTGGGAGAGAGAGGTGGGTGAAGTCTTTAGTAGGAGGAAGTCTGAAAACGAATAATAACGCACTTAAACTAGTATACAAAGCCTCCCATAAACCGCTCTGCGTCAGGGTAAATATAATACAGATGAAATGAATTAAGATTAAATTAAACTGATGTAATTCAAACACACAGGCCACCCCTACACCGATGGCCCCTGCTGTAGACAATGCGGTTTGCCCCCCCGGCCAGTATTATATTACCCTCGGCTTTTCCGGACCCCAGCACAGGAGGATATTCAACTGGTTCGGTTATTTTTTAGCGAACATGCTGACGGTAAATTTTGCGGACTAAACGATCTGAGTTAAAAGAAAAGCAATACTACATCTAATTTCGCCGTCATGTTAGTGCAGGTAGAGGATGCCTTGGTATCATACGGGGATTTATTAGATCCATAAAGTACTGCGATATTGAGTACTTTTCCCCGCTTATGCATGTGGGTGTTTATTCTACCGCTGTTTGGTACCTGTTTTGAAAACCAAACAGCTCTGCTATGGACAGCAAACAACACGGACTTCCATATAATATCAGTATCGTTATCGTTTTGATTTTTAAACAATAAAATTAAATTTTTTATATGATTTCCAAATTTTATATTAAATTCAGTTTCGTTTCAGTTAGTTTTCAACGTTGCTGTATTAGTTTTCATTTTAAAGACGCATTTCTACGTAGTTCTTACACATTTCAGTTTCGTTTGAGTTTCACTACTTTTATTTCTCGGGACATACTTGATATAAGTTGCAGGGTTATTTTATGTAATCTGATCTTTAAAGAATTCCAGAGTGCACATTATGTAATAATGTCCTCAAAATGGGCAAAATGTGTTACAGTCATTATTAAATATTAATGGTCATTTACAGATAAATCAATACTTTAGCTTTACACAACTTAACACTACTTTAAAATGGTAACTGAAAATGTAATTTGTTTTTATTTTATTTCATATCATGGAAGCAATATTTATAGTAGGCCTATTTGTTCAGTTGTTTTATTATTTTCATACCTTGTTCAATTTTAGTTTATAAAAATGTGTTCTTAGTGTTAGTTTTTGTTAATGATGACCCTGCTTTGATTTCACAGGAATCGTTTCTTGGATTGAAGTTTCTCCAACAGCAGTGTTTCTGCCCCCCAGTTCCCACACCTCCACTATTCCCAGCCATTCCTCAAGCCTGCGTTTCCCTCCAAGTTTCAGATGGACATCTGAAGAGCATCTTAGTCTAAGACCCAAAATGGTAGCGTCGGACATCCAGATAAAAGATGCAGCATGACGTAACTGACTGTACAAACTTAGTCATGATATTCATGAGCTGAGAAACTCAGTCACTGTTGACATCATTCCCAATAAGTATTTGTTACCCAAGAATATTCAGGAGGAAATTAAGCTGGATGTTTTACAAGAATTAAAGCTTAAAACAGGTGTCCCACGCACACAGTGCTCTGCACTCCTGAAAGGTCATGACCTCTGTGCCCCATGCTGTCCTAGTGGAATAACCACCATCTCTCAGGGCGAAGCTCTAGATCAGGTTCGTCTTTTTGGTGATCCTGACCCTTGCTGAAGGTCACTTATTCATCATACTCACTTTCTTCCTGAGCTAAACTGACAGAAGCAATGAATTATTAAAGCTTGTTCAGTCATGCAATAAATGAGAAATATCAGGAGTTCAACAGAGCAATTCAACTTAATTTCCCACGCTCAGATCATACTGTACAAACTATATTCATGATCAGACCCTTAATTTACTCAAATACAGCCCAAGTTTAGATGGTGATACCTTATCAGCTGAGAGATCTGTTGAAACATGGGAAATTCCTTCTCTTCCACAAATGGGGAAAAGCCCTTAACTAGTCAGCTGTGCGCAGTCTGGCGATTAAATCACTGGAGCAAGTCGGCAGAAAAAAAACACACAGATACACATTCTTACACAACAGCCATGGACTTTGTCAAAAGGGATGTGTCATGAGAAGACCCTAGAATTTTTCCAGATCTTTTCTGGTAAAATCTTCCAACAAAACAAAATGTAATTAACCTCAATCCTCTCAGCCCACAGATGGAGGTTACATCCTTTCCTTAAAATTCTTTCAAGGTTTACCTAAAAGCACAGGCCGTACGTCCCCTCATTTCAGGATATTCTATGAAGAAAAAAAAATCTGCTGAGGCAAGGCGATTACACGGTCGAGAGAGAGCCAGAATTCTGAGTCACAGTCAAAGACACAGAGTTGGCGGACAGGTGCAGGAGGGTCGCGGGAGGAAAGGAGTGAGGACGGGGGCCAAAAAAGGTCACAGATACATAGGTTGAGGCTGACATACATTGACATTTACTGCTTCAACAAAACACCGGCATCACATGGTAACGGAGGAGGTGATGCATCGAGGTCCAGTGTGGGCGGAATCACGGGGCTGCCAATCACTGTCTGATTTAACCCAAAGGAGACTGGGTAAGAGACACACTGGTTTCACCCACCATATGTCAAAGGATCAGCATTAGGGGGTGGAGGACAATTATCTCCATCAAACAGATTGGTATGTTTAAGACCTGATGATTATCCAAAGTGATGTACAATGAAGAAAGCAGGGTCAGGCAGTCCCTGGAGCAACTGGGATTACTGACCGACCATGAGATTCGAACCAGCAATCTTCTGATCACGGGCACAGCCCCCTAACTCACTGAGCTGTGCACTGGCCTTGGAAATACGCCGCAAGACCTAACGGTGGTGGTGTCAACTGGTCAAAGCGCCAGGAATGATGGGGAAAAACTGAGCAAGAGACGAACTGCCGGCAAGCTAAACGGTCCGGTCTGAGCAGGAGCAAGTGAAAGGAGCTCGAATTGGTCCCAGAGGGGGAGTGAGTTCACGGCGAAAAGGTGTCACACACGGCCCACGCCCTGAGCAGCTTACTCACCGCGTCTGAGGGGGCTGATAAGATGTTTAGTGGGCTACAGAAACCATGTGGTAGGACAGTCATGGCTCATATTCCCCATCAGGCCACAGCAGTCAGGCCAAGGCCCCCAAAAAGCAGATGGACAACGCCGTGCAGTTATTGCTATCAGCCTTATGGGGGCGGGGCCAATCTTCACCAAAGGGCGTGGCCTAAGATAAAACTCACAGGAATCAGGGGAATCAATGCCAGCAGCAATCAGGGGACCATGCTGCTGCTAACCTAAGGGATTATAGGAGGCTCATGAATCAGTGCCCTTGGTACGAGTGGATTCACTTGGTTATTTGCCGATTTATTTTTTGATGGCTACAATATGGGTTATTCTGGATGGATGGATAATGCAATACAGCACTTGTGAAACTCAGGGCAGAGTGAAATCAGCACAGCAGCAGTAATTCCCTTTAGTAACTAAATAAAAAATTAAAATTAAGGTTTAATTTATAGCCCCGGCATCTACAACCACAAGAGAGCTCACCTGTTAGGGATGGGACATTGTGTAACTCAGTCGGATAGTGACCTGTGTCCAGAAGGTTGTTGGTTCCAATCCCATTTTGGGGAGAGCAATCAGAATCAGGCCAAAGAGCAAGGCCCTTAAACCCAGCTGCTCCTGGGTTGCTGGCTGATCTTGCTCTGCTTCACGCTTTCCTCTCTTGTGCGCCACTTTGGGCAGAAGAGTCTGCTAAATTATGGAAATGCAGTGAGACTGTATAGCGGAGAACGTCTGTCAAACCAGTTTGAATGCATGTGTAAAAACAGACAACTCCCGCAGCTGTTTTTACAGTCAGATCAGCAGAAATGGTGTTATGCTGCATGTGGGGGTGCCGGCACCGAGGGGGGAGGGGCATGCGCCCGGCCGCCCAGCCAGCCTCACTCCGTGTTCATGGCGGTCTCCCGCACCGCTCGGAGAGACCTTCTGTAAAAGGGGAGCATAGCAGAGCCATGAGTCATCACTGTTTACTGGTAGAAACGGGGATTCGCTGCCTGGAGGGAGTCACGCCGCGCTCGTCTGACGTTTCCAGGAAAGCCCTGGCGCTTCACCGGACAGCAGGGAAAGCCGTGGGCTCCGTGGAAACGGTTGGCATGACCACTAACACTTTCTGCAGAAGCCAGGGGTGGGGAGGGGTGACATCTGCGCAGAATAATCTACTCTCCAGTTGGGTGAGGATGTGGGGAGGAGAGGCAGTCACGTGAATTCACGGGAATGTAAAGCATGTACAGACCGGGGACAAATATGGCCTGATTTAATCTGAGAGGAAACCATTTTGAGAGAGCTGACGTCAGCAGCCCGCATCACACGCATCACACGCATCACACGCATCACACGCATCACACGCATCACACGCATTAACGGTCATCCCTGCGTCCATCACACGGCGCGCGCCACACGAATCTGTGCCCACAAAACAATACTATTTAAAACATCAGCAGAAAAGTTAGCAGGAAGGTAACAGTCTACGGAAGACCCCCACTCCCAGATGGATTAATGTCCCCCCATGACAACTAGCCTCTTCTTCTTTTATGTGGCACTGCGAAACCTTCTTGAATGCCCCCCCCAACCGTAAACTACACAATATTTTGCCTCCGACGTCTCCGGACCACATGGCGGCAGATGCATAACCTTCCAAGACCACAGAACGGATGGGCAGAGAATGCTGGGAGCGCAGAGGGCCGGGGAGCGCAGAGAATGCTGGGAGCGCAGAGGGCCGGGGAGCGCAGAGAATGCTGGGAGCGCAGAGGGCCGGGGAGCGCAGAGAATGCTGGGAGCGCAGAGGGCCGGGGAGCGCAGAGGGCCGGGGAGCGCAGAGAATGCTGGGAACGCAGAGGGCCGGGAAGGTTCCCCGCACGCTTTGGCCGCCCGCGTCTGTCAGCAAGCATGTTTTACGGCGCGAGCCGCCGATACTCAGCCAATGTCGGTGCCCGGGACGCAGGACTGTTTCACAAGCAGCCAGATTCGCCTTAATTACATGCTGCTGACATACTTTCGGGCTAAGTATTATTCTCCTAGGAAAACTTACAGTAATATACAAAAAAAATAGAAAGCTATAAATAATGTGCATCAGTGCATCAGGTTCTACTCAATAAATAACAAACCATGCCACCACCTTCACCACGGCAAGGGGTGTCGATTTGTGCATAAAAATCCAATAATGGGGTGAGCAGCACCTCCCTAAGACCATAGCAGAGCGTACCCCCTCCCCCCCAAGAAGTTTTCATTCCTGCAGATCAACCTCAACATGCACTCTTAACCCCCCCAGTACCACCCTCATGTGCACGCTTGCCATTGTAGGCCAAGCACTATGTGCATCCCACTCCTGACCAGAGGCAGAAACTTGCACTTGGCCCAGTGTGATCCAGCAGGTCCCACCTGCTCTGATAGCTTATAGCATCCTTGGAGCAGTTGGGTTTAAGGGCCTTACCCTTTGGTCCAATTGTGATTGCACTGCCCACCGTGGGACTGGAACCAACAACCTTCTGAACACATGTCACTAGCCCACTGAGCCACACAACGTCCCATCACTAACAGGGTGAGTATTATTTTTAAAACCAGAGGAAAAAATACTAGCAATAACAACAACAAAAAACGAGTAATTCTCTGTTACTCTTAACATTACAGCTAAACTGTTTCCTCTGTTCTGATGTCATGCTCTTAGGTGAAATGCACATAAATTAATCAGAAAAACAAAAAACGTCGACTGAAACGTATTGATGTGTTTTCCTGGGGTGTCTTGTAAGCAATGAGATCTTCATGGGAACGACCGATTTAAAGATTCACAGAAGTTGACCTGTGGTTAAACTCCTACGGTATCACATGGTGCACATGCTGCGGAACATGGGGGTGCGAGTTAGGCAAGGGCGATCAAACTTGCTTCTGTCTTGGACTAAAAAGTCCCATTTGCACACAGATCGGTGACGACACGAGTTCAAGGGAGGAGATTTTAAAAAATCTGATCTTCGCCCAGAGACATGCTGTCATTCGCGAAACATGAAAAGCATTGTGTTTTTTCACGTCCTGTTTAGCTAAAACAGAAACCATGGGAAAGACATGTTTGGACATCTGCCTGGCAAGTTTGTGTGTGTGTGTTTCCATGGAGACAGGGTGGCTGTAACCTGACTAGGCTTCGTATTGCAGATCACGGAGAGGGTCTGCATTCTCCCCACACAGGAACAGTTCACCTGCTGGAATTCAGACACCAACCACACCAAAGAAAACAAAAAATGGAAAATGTCTGACTGAACACTTCGAAAAGCCACCATGACTCGTGCCACAACACGGGGAGCGGCCTTCCACACCGTCCAGCAGACGACGAGTCTCCCCATGCAAAACCAGCTCCATACATCACCGATCACTTCTACATCAAGATCGCGAGCAAACAGGACAGCAGAAAATTTCATATATCTGATCGCCGGCTTCTCCAAAGTGCGATCTGCTGAAATGGAGATGAATCACCATCGCTCCAAGCGATGACTCAACTTTACTGCCAGGGTGTAGCTCCTAGCAGGGCAACACATCCATATATATTCCGCCGAGATGAGAACATTATCAAGCTGCTTTTTACAGAGTTTCCACAAATGCAAACCAGCTAAAAGACTTCTGTTCATCTGCTTTTAGACGCCCTTTCAGACAGTGACATCAGTCGCTTTAATAGCACATTACCCACACAAATTCAGATGAATTTTCAAAAGGAAACCAACAAGCTCCTATCGCTTAGTTTATGGAACTGAAAGCAGCACCCAGCACGTGTCAGAGTCCATGCATCTGTCACTCTGCCCTGTCTCCTCCAGCCTTCCTCAATGCCAGCTCAGAGTTCCTCAGAGTCCACTCATCTCAGCTCCTATGCCGTTTTAAATGCAGCCGGTGCATGCGCTGCGACATTCCTGTCATGTGGATTATTGATTCTTGGTTTTTCCAAACCCCAAGGTTGCAGCCACAAAGGACCTAAAACTGAATGTATGTTCTGTCAGAAGGTGTTATGAATGGGGGATTGGGCTCGATCATCCCAGTCAATATTCAGATTTCGCTTTGGGTTACTGGTGGATATTGTCCAGCAATCCCCTTAGTAATACTGATCAGAGCAGGGGTTGGATTTAAACCTCATGTTAATTCATTTTGTAAATACTTTTGTTTGTACATAATATTATATTACCAATGATAGATAGATATATAGATAGATGAAGCACATGTACAGTGTAAAACACATACAGAAATGAGACATGATTATAAACACTTTTGTTAGCACGTATTCTCTTTTCTTTACGAGTAACAATTAACGCGCCTCACTTTTTCCAGGAAGGGGAACGGGGCGCTTGGTCTTATCTCCACTAATCGACCCACCGGAGCGCCAGCCAGCACGCCCCCCTGCGCCCGTCCGGCGCGGAATCAGACGTATCCCGATGGACCCGTTCCCTCCGTATTGCCCCCCTTCACCTCGTCTCCTCCGGTGGTCTCCCACACCGTGCCCTTTGTCCCGCGATCCCCAAAGACCACGTGCGATCTCCGCGTGCAGTTGCTAAAATAAATAAATAAATAAACAAACAGCGTGGCGCTTCCCCGGATCACTTAAAGAAACGTGTCCACGGCTCTCAGTATAGGTGCAACCTTAGTGCAATATAAATATACTCCGAAAACAGAGTAAGCATGGACACGCAAGTATCACGCAATCAAAAGCAGTTTAGAAAACGACTAGTATGAAGACATTATGAAATGTGAGCGGGATTTACACCACTTGGTCTAAAAAAGTGCTACCATAACTTTTTCGCCCCTTGGCCACAGCGACCTTCTCGTAAGCACATGTTCGCACTACTTAGGAGGCAGACTACCGATGTTGTTATTGGGAAGTTTACCTATAATATAGCCGAAATTGTTTTTCTTATCCTGGCTACACCGTGGTGTCCATTCACGTGTTTACTGACTGATTTCAGTACAATGAGCGTCGCTTTCTCCCCGAATAAGCCCCTAAAACGCATCCGCATGTAAATAGCAGCAGGACTTCAGAATACTTATAGGAAGATGATTAAGTTGGTACAGCTTACCTAGGGGACACGGACGGCTCTCTCGGGGTTAGGCAAGTCCCGCGGTTGTGATCGCTGGCGAGCCGGTGGATCGCGGATCCCGGCGAGAAAGTCGGAGAAGCGTCCAGATGGCGGACCGAGTGCAAAACAACAACAGTGTAGCGGTGGTGTAACCGCATTCCTGCGCCCGCTTCCGCGAGCGGCGACGTCAGCGGCTCCTATGAACGCCCCCCCTCCATTCATGAAAATAACTATGGGCTGACGTCATCCTGGCGGGAAAGCGGAGCCTGGCCGCAAATAGCCCGGGGCGATTAAAACTGCGTTGATGAGCGTTTAAGGCTTTACATAACCCTTTTAAAATTATTGTTAATGAATTCAAGTCTTGCATTTGTGCACTTAGTAAGCATTTAAGGATTGCCTTCTTACCACACATAGGGTAAACTAATACACATCACTAATGGCACACATCTTTATCACATCGCAGTTTTAGGGAGAGGGGACAGAGGGGTCAGCTGTGTGGTCATGCTTCACTTCCGTCCTTGTGTAACCTGAAGATCTGTAGCTTCAGCATGACTGTATTCTTTCGGACCGATTCTGCCTGATTTGGAGATGTAGGTTATGAAAAGTGGATGTTTTGGATTTTTCAAGGGGAAAGTATGGTCAGAATAGTGCCATATACACTCACCTAAAGGATTATTAGGAACACCATACTAATACGGTGTTTGACCCCCTTTCGCCTTCAGAACTGCCTTTATTCTACGTTGCATTGATTCAACAAGGTGCTGAAAGCATTCTTTAGAAATGTTGGCCCATATTGATAGGATAGCATCTTGCAGTTGATGGAG